CTATCATTTTTTCCTTCTGTCAGGTTCACCCAAAAAACACACAAAAGAGTTAAGCGATCAGAACTTAAAAGTAAACCCAATTTAATTCCGGCATCTTACAGTTTCAGCTAAAGAACGATTACAATTTTATTAGGAAGCTTGGAGATGGGCTTTCACACGAACATGAGAATGATTAATCATAACCTGCAGATCTCTAGATCAGCTTCATACTGAATGCATGAAAGGGATTATATTTAAACCTGACTGAACATTATGTAATAATGTTCTCATTGAATCTACAATAAATATTTTGGTGTACTAGTTTTATAAGTGTCTTCCTGTTCATATACCAATTTTTAATGAAAAATTATTTTGAATATATGAAAAATAACACAGGAAAATGTTATTTCATTGAGTTGTTTAACCCATTCACCAGCATATATTTGCTTAGACAACTTGTAATTTTAAAGTATTGATGCATATTTTATGACAAGTGTCCAAAATTGTATATAAACATATTTTGTCCTATTTTAGAAGTACACTATTAACATCTATAAAACTGATTTAACTCTTAAGCTATCGCATCGTGTCACGTTTTAACTTAGTTTAACCGAGATGTAAAAGAATGCTCCTTATAATGGTAGTAGAGGACCATGACTACACCTGACATACTATTCCACCCTCCCTCCTCTCCAAACAATTCACTGGGCCCAAAAGCAATACAAGAACTTTTGAAATTGCCATTCATGTATCAAAACTAAAAACATCACAGCAAACTAAACTTACTGATGAATTGCAAACTTTTCCATTAGAAATGTAAGCTGGTGAAAGGGTTAAGAGTGGTCAGACCTGGATAGCAGGCAAATAGATTAGTTTTCTGTATTTTAGGGCATGTAAGGAAAGAGGTAAAATGCTGTTATTTCATTTAATGGCAAGCTCTTAATCCTGAAGAGGTACTGAACATGAGAACTCCACAAAAGATCAAAGGAGTTTCAAAAACTCAATATCTGAAAAATGACTGGTATCTTTGAAAAATACGGAGTAGGAATGAACTCAGGCAAGCAGTTTTGTCCTAGAATCTAAAATGCTGTTTACAAATAAAGGGACAAAATGTCAGGGTGTAATATAAATGTATTACTAATTTAACCCGACTTCCACAGTTATATTCTGATCTGTCCACTGTAATATAAGGAAGTTAGCAGAGTTTGAGATATCTTTCCCATTTGATTAGAAAGGTAAGATTCCTTCTTACTTCTATGTGAGTTACACATAGATGGTTCTGGAAGAGGATTAGGGAAACGGCTCTTTTGTAATTGAATCTCAGAAGGTATCCAAAAGAGAGGTTAATTTTCTACAAACACAAAGTTGTGGGCTGTTACAATAGTACCTTGCGTTCCTGTTTCAGGGTACTTCCTGCTAACTTGCTTAGAGTGGCTGAAGGACCAATATTCTGAAATCCCAGCAATGGAAATTCTGCAGTTCATAGGGAACCACCAAAACTCATGAAAATATGCTCAAGCAGCTCCACAAAATATACTGCTTACCTAAGTATTTGCTCTCTGATGGTTGTTCTAACTCACGGAAAGCACTATATTTGTCTCCACAATCTAATGCAGGTGAGAAAAGACATAAATTTACATGAAGATATTATGGACTCTAATATCATATATATTAGCACAATTGCTCTGGATTTTAATATTAGTGTTTTATCAAAGTCAAAAAAGAAATACGAAATATTGCAATAAATTGCCCATAGTGGTTGAATAGTTTTCCTTTTACCTCCAAAAGGAGCTGTGCTTTCAGAAGGCTTCTCAGCTGAAATTCCTTTAAATACAGCATACTTATCAGTTGATGAGAGTGTCTTACTACCTGGGAGTGGCATTAGTAAAGAAGGAACACTAAAATCAAACAAAGATAAAAAAAAAAAAAAAAAGTTTCTTAATTTATCCATAAGAAATCTACCCTTCCAGCTTTTATTAAAACTGTTCAGAAAGAAGGCAAGGATAACTTTGAATTTCTGCACAGTGCAAATCAGTGAGTTTAGGTAGCCATCTATTCAGCAAAATAAGGATTATTCCATAGTTACATAAGCAAATCTTTTTGCACATAAACACACTCTATATAGTAAAACTGCCATAATAACCTAACACTGTGTTAGCAATTGCTGGAAGATTTAAAAGACGCTCTGCAACAGCTTTGCTTGCCCTCCGCACAAGTCCCCTTATCAGACCTTGGCAGCTCTACAGAACAACATCCTTTACATATGAATGATGCATTTTACTTCTAGTTTATGTCATTCAATACTATGCATGTTGCAAATGTGAATGAATTTCTATGGTGTTCTTTGGCCTGAAGCAAGACTCTTTCCAGAGCCATTTAAATCTCCTTATCAACAGCCTACAAGCAACATACAAACCTAGCACTTGCACACACGTGCTAATGACGGTCTATGATGCTTGCAGACAGACAGTGCAATGTCAAAAAATATATAGCTTATGGTAACATAATTAAATTTCACATCGCTGCAAAACAGGCTATTAGATATGCAATCTTGGCAAATGTAATGGTTAATCATCTGTACTCTACAGATGGCTTTTTTTAAAATAAAGCCCCATAAGCAATTAGATTATAGCTCATTGTAGCATTCTGTTCAAAACTGAACGCTTTTACAACTGAATAAAGAAAACTGCTGCCATGAAAAAAACACCAGTTTTTCAGGATCCCCTGCTTCCCACTGTTGAACTTAAAAACAATGTTTGTTAAAACTTTCACTAGTAAAATGGCTTTAATTGCAAAATGATGTCTAAAAATGAAGATGTACTTAGAATAGAGCACCTTCAGACAAATGTGGTGTTATTGATATCAGCAAAATTAAATTCCTTACATAGAATGCCATCATGCATACTGTAAGTGAAAGATCTGTGCCTAACGGCATTACTATTTGAGGCTACTGTAGAGGAAGCGACTGGTAATTGCTATTTACCTGGAAAACATTAGTTCTATTTGCAACTAAGAACAGTCAGTCCAATATACTGAAAATTTGTGTGTCTACAATTTAAACACATGGGAGTCGCATAAGATTTTGCTGTGTGCAATAAAAGGAAAGACGACTTTGGGATTTTGTGATCTCAGGACTTTGAAAGATTAATTTTAAACTTTCAAAGGAAGTAAATATGCATACTTATTTCGTTATACAAAATTTGCCTGAAATGGGATTACAACTTGGCAGTCTCCCAAATGAAAAGGTAAGACTGCTAAAGTCTGAATGAGATTTCAATTCAGATTTATAGTCAGTTATTAGAAGTTTAAGCATCGGCCAAAGAGATGATAGAAAGAATGAAAACCCTATCCACTACAGTTCTCCATCATTTTCTAAAAGAAGAGTATAATGTCATGTTCTTTGCACATTCAGGGCCTGATGAAAGACCTTGATGTCAGTGAATGCTTTCTGTCAACCTCCATGAACACTGGATCATACTTTTAATAGAAGCACACCACACTAACAGCAGTACTCATCTGTTCCAATGTATTTTTTCTGAATAGCTGTACATATGATTTTTGAGTGAATGCTCAGCATGCAGTAATTTACAATTGCCTGGGCAATAGCATAAACATTTGAAAAACCTATCCGCATACCCTGTATATGCGATTTACCTCAGCATGGTGAATGGAACGCTAAAGAATGGCCAACCACCTATGATACATCAAATGCCATGTTTGATTCAGAAAGCTTAATTGTAGTTGTAACATCCTTCAAAAGAAACTGCCAGGGTAGAAGCGAGGTGACAGAAGAAAATTACAGGCTAAAAAGCTACCCACAAAAGAGGAAAACATTTCATTTCTTAAGAGTCTTAAAGTACTGAAGGGGTGGAAATCAGAGATCTACTACCTGCTCCGGTGCTGTGAACTGGCTGCTTTGGAGGAGCCAGCTACATCCCCTTGGAAATCAGTGAAAGAGTCATCTATTGAGCCAGACTTTGAAGCATCCTGGAAATCCTGGAAGTCATCATCCTCGGCTTTTACTACCTGAATTACAAATAACGTGTAACTTGACATACCGTTGTCTTCCCAGATTGTCATACAGCATGAAATCTGTTCAGAATGCTGTGATCCACTTTAAAAAACAACCCCCCACTTTCAACATTAATATGCAAAATGAGTATGATCAGTGTTTCACTTTGCCTGCACCTTGCCCTACTCAAAACAAAAACAAGGTGTTTAGGGTTATAGAAAGCACGCATGAACTACTGAATATGGAACTCTATTCCCTTTACGTTAAATGTATTATTCATCATACCCATGACATCTTTTAATACAGGAAGAATACTATTAATTTAAATCAATCATACACATAGCAAAAGCATCAGAAGAAGTGTTCTTGCAAGAAGGATGAAGCATATTTGCAAACACCAAAACTGATCCTCAAAGTCATTTACTGTATTGGAAAATAAAGGCTTTTATACTTCTCAGCTTCTCTTGAAAATTTTAACTTATTTTATTAGCTAACAGATTCTTTTGTGTTTAACCTAAAGCTCCATTTTATGGGCATTATAAAATCCTAACTACAACTAAAATCCTCTTGCAAGCATCGTAGTGGAGAAAGCTAGCTTGTAATGGAGAAAGCATTTTAAAAAAACAAAAACAAAAAAACTTTAACACCACCAAAAAGAAATGGAAAAAAAAAAAGGACATTTACAGCAGCATGGCTTCATATTTTCAGATGACACATTCTAGATTTCAGCTTCATTTTTTGTCTTTTACTTGAGCTCTCTTGTCATTTCGCAGCTTTGAAACAGTCAGGCTCATTCTCTTTCTAGCACAACAGATTTACCATGCAACAGAAACAGCTCTAACCTGACTGGGCGGGTAGGAGGGTACAAAACCTCCCGAAGACTGTGTTGCAGCTCCACCCGCTGGTGCTGTTATGCTCATTCCTATGACAGCGGGTCCAATGCTGAGAGGCATGGAGACTGGCGGTCCAGAGGGCATCAGAGGCTGCTGGCTTACTGTAGCATGCAGTGACATTGGTAATCCAGTTAAAGTAGGGACAGGGGCAGCCGGAAACTGGTTTAACACATCAGGGCTCACTGCAGGTATTCCTCTCTGCACAAGCAGAAAAGCAAAGACCACCATATAGTACACACTAACCAAAAAAATGCATATTGCATTCTCAGCCCCAGTTTCTAGTTTAAATTATTGAAACCATGAAAGGGCAGTCTCTGAAATCAGTCTCTGAAAGCAAAACAAAAACACACACGCACACAAACCACTATCAACAACCTATAAGCAATGTGAATCCTACTTAACACCCTGCGTGCTGGAGCTACACGGAGGGCAGTGAGAGACGTTTGACTACATTTTTATTCCACTTTAAGAAGCAAATCTAGTAAGCACTGGCAAGCAAAGCTATGCTGAACCCGGTGTGTGCTACAGTCTTTCCCCACACACTACTCCCACATGGTACCTCAGTTTGGATCTTCACTGCTGAAGACGCTCGTGCCTTAGTTTCCATACAGGGTTGGCATTTTGTGACGTTTTTCTACTAAACTGGTAAAAGATGACACTACACTGACACAGAACGAAACCTTAAAATCAACACTCCACTGATGGAGGAGAGAAGGTAGCAAGTTGAGCTAGTCACAGACTAGGTATATAGGAATCATATAATTTGAGGGGAACAGACGTGTATACAAACAGAAGAAACATAGCCAGTATTTTATATTAAAATACATATGATGTGTTCATATATCTAAGGACTATCTTCAACTGATGCTCAAGGAAGGAATAACTGAAGTGTAAGTGCAGGAAATAAAATTATAGCTTCATTGAAGTTATAATGGGAGTTTCTCTTCTGGACGTCAACAGAACTAGTATTTTACTAGAGGTGTGGCATACTAGCCACTCGGTGCTGACACACAACATACGGCAGAATTTAAGTGAGCTACCTTTTTGCATTAGTCTCCAAAGTCTTAGTTGTACCTGAGTTACTGCTATCATAGCCAGGACAGCATAAAGCTCTTCTTTTGTAAGCTTCCCAGGTGTGGTACGGTTGGCTAAAGCCCAAATTTGTCCAAGAGTCTCTCTGGGCAATCCAGATGACATCAGTATAGGATAGAGTTTAGCAGTATCTATGCCAGTAGGAGTCATCGTGGTTTCTAAAATTTTCTTATACAACTCTGTTAAGAGGGAGTCAGTATTAGATTGTGACAACTGCGGGTTTTAAGTGAATTTAAGATTGCTTTTGTATTTTGACTCAAACTCTTTAACATTTAGTATATGAAATTAATAGCATTCAAAAAGGCATCAGCATTTTGGCATCATATTCAATAGTCATGTTTCAACTAAATGCATTATTTGACAGTTTTTACATACAAGTTTACACAAACAAAGAAGAAATACTTTATACAGAACGTTATTAGTGCTCTATATTTAAAAATGTGTTTCTTTAATGAATTTGTAGGATAATCCTTATAAAAAAGATAGCTATAACAGCTTTAGGTATTTAGAATTCAGTGTAATCAATATTTAGTACAACATTTCATTTTCTATTTACTGTTATTTGCAAATATAAGGTAAATAACCTTAAGAAATGAGCCTGCTTAATTACAAGAAATACCAGAAGCCAAACTACCCATGAAAGCAGTATTATCAGCAGTAGCAACTTCTACTAGCATAATCTGCTGTCATTACAAACTCTAGATTAAACATTTAATGTGCTTGAAGAAACTTCTGATTTCTTCAAATGCAAATAAAGCCACTGTGAATTTCAAATGTTATCAAAAATACAGGCTTCATTTGGTGACTGAAGGAAAAACACCTCAATCAGTAAACGGCAACGGAAGTACATATGCATTCACACCTTATATTGCTCATTTAGTAGAGCATAACATTCCTAGTCACACTCAAAAGCGGTAATTGCATGACAGCAGGAATTATAGGCTGCTAAATGAAAAAATTGTAAGATATTCTTCCAGTGTTAAAATCAATTATTCATCATTTTAATTCCAAAGGAAAAATCAACACCACCAAACATCAGGGTGGGGAGAGGGGGCTTATTCTTTCAGCTACACAGCTGCTAAAGGTATATGCATATGTGAATAATACATTTACTCTTCTGGCTAACTGGCCGTGATTTTAGAACAAAAGTTAAACTATTTTCTAATTACTATAAGCCTGGAAAAATTTATTATAGATGAAGAATTAATTAGGTATCAGGAATATTTAGTATAGTTCTTTATACTTTTTCCATCAAAAACGTATTTTCATAGAATTATTTTGTTTTAGGTGTGGTTTTTTTTGTTTTGTTTTGTTTTTTTTACCTGGGACCAAACTATCATTGTAAATCCAAGGAGGCATCATTTGCTGAATTGGGTCCTGTGAAGGGAATACTCCAACTCCTAAATATGTACCATTTAATGAGGAAAAAGAAAGAGACAGTTGTATTAGGACATACAGATTCAGAGTATAAGGATCTTTGAGACTAGATCATAGTTTGTCAGTATCATTTAACATTTCAGGCAAAGATTTTGGATAGGAGTCACTGCGCCCAAAGAGGAAAAACAGCTGCTACAGTCAATATATTCTAGTCAACATAATGACTGGAATGATTGAGGGTAACAGCAAGAATACAATTATATACACACAATGAAACAAGGAGCTCTTCATTTGCCAAATTTCTGGTGGAATAGAAGCTCAAGTCTCACTGTCTCTTAAAATTTCATACAATAGCAGTTCTGTGCCACATCAAATTTAGTCTTCCCATCAACAGTCTGCTTTTAGGGCTGCTTGTGGAACAAATAAATCCCTGTCTACCAAAAAGGAAGCATAAGAAACATTTATAACATTCCACCAGAAAATCCTGCTCAGGGAAATCCACAAACAGCCTAAATCTCAGCAACAGATCTTTCCCATGTTCACAAACATATATCCGTTGCCTCACTGCTCCTCATCTTCAGATCCAGAAGACAACATTGCAGTCTTTGCTACTGCAGAGTTTGATAATGTGATCTGTCACACTATAGTTCTTGTGAATTGAATATTTACTTCTCCAGGGTATTAACTCTTCCACTCAGTCTCACAGTTGTACTCCCTGATTTAGCTCTCCCCAAACAGATTTTTTTCCTTACCTCACATGAAGCTCCGACAAACTCTTCACGATTTAAGAATTCACACTCATTCTTTCCCAATGTCCTTGCATCTCCTCATCTTCCGCATCCATTCTCTCCTGACTACAGTCTAATTTCTAATCATCCCATAGCTCCAAGCACATTTTAATACACGCAATTCCTTCCATTTCACCAGCCAAGCAAAAAACATTTGCTGCTTCCTCCAATCTGATTATTATTCTTCAGCTGTAACCACTCTTCCCTAGACACTTCTGCATACTACCAATTCTTGCTCCCCTCCTTGAATATCTCTGATACAGTTCAGCCTCTTAAAATGAAATAGCAGCAGAAGTGAAAAGGAATTTACTTAGTTGATACATAGGAGAATCTTGCTCAAAACTTTGATAACATCAAGAGGGCTAAAGGTTTGCCATTTTTCAGTATTCCCTTTTTTCTACCGTTATCGCTTATCTGCTAAACTTCTGTTCCTCACAAAGTACTTGAGCTCATCCCTCAAAGCCCCCTTAACATCTGGAATTATTCTAAGCTATTGCACTACATAATCACTTCCAACACCATCATCATCTGCAGATTGTACCTTAGCTTGCTCTGTCTCTCATCTTAAGTCAGGCATCTTTTTTTTTTTTTTTTTTTTTAAACAGGCATCAGATTATATTGGATTTGTACAAAATGAACAATGCAATTATTTCGCATTGACTGAACTATGAATAAATGAATAGCTCCTATTTCATGCTGTATATTAAGTCACTTTTAGCAATTTACCATTTATTAAAAAGGTCCTCCACTTATTAAAAAAATGCCCATTCAAACCATTTAGTTTCATCCAATGAGTTTTTGGGTTTTTGTTTTGTTTTGTTTTTTTTAATATTGGACAAGGTAACACTTGAAAGCAACATATACAAACAGCCAGGGTGGAAAACACAAGATTATCAAGCAGTTCTTTCCTAGAAGTATAGTAACTTTTTATTAATAGAGTGCCTAATTGATTTATCTATGCACAAGAAACTGTCTCCCTTCGTTTCGTCTCACCCTCCAGTGAAGTGAGATTACACAAAAGGCTATGGTCTGTATTTGTTCTTGTTACATTTGAATACACTGGAGTTCAAGTTTCATGTAATCCCCCAGTCCAATATCAGAGCACTAATCAAAGTGCAACAGGTATCTTGCATCTGTTTTGACTGAAATAAGTAGTAAAGAACTAAACATTCAATAGTCAACTTTAATAAAAGGCAAACTGGAACCAAAGACTGCTTAAAGTTTGACTTACTCCATCTGGTCCAGCTTTTGAAATTTTGATCTCTAAAACACAGACAGCTTTAGACAAAACACATACGAGAGGCAGATTGTCTAGGAACCTAATGGTTTCTAGCTAAGGGCTTTAACCTAACAAGAGTTTACCCCCTCAAAGTGCAAAATGAACATCCACCATGATATTGACCATCTTTGGTAGTAAGTTTCCTTAAATAAGTAACAACAAAAAAAAGCTGTAGAGAGCACAATTCTTTTTTTCCCCCCAAGAAAGAGGACAGAATATTTTAAAACAGAAGTAGACCTGATTAAACAAACATGTTAAAGTAATTACAGAAGTAAATTCACGTGGAAAGAGTTCAGAGCAAAATCACAGCTGTTACTTTCAGCAAGGAGCAAGAGGCATTGACATATTATTCAAGCAGGCATTCAGAGCAAAATTATGCAGCACTGGGCTTAGAATTAGCGTATAAAGTGTTAGCGTTCAAGCAGCATTTTATTAGATTTAGATTCTGTCATATGTTTAATTTGCTCACCACACTCTTCAACTGCTATGTTTTGTTCTGAAGCCTTGCGCGCCTCTGTAGTAGTGGTACCACTTTCACGTTCACCTACAACACCCCAGTCATTGATGGCTAGACTGGGATGAACTTGGCTTGCAGCTGAGGCTTTGTGCCCAACTTCGGCTGTTTTAAGTTTGGTTTGGTCTTGTTCAGATTCATTTAAGCCATTATCTAAGACTTTCTCCTCCAAGGAAGAGCCTGAATAAACAGCAGGAGGAAGTGTTTACATTTTGTTATTAACCACCCAGACTGCAATTCTACACTTTTAAAGTATTACTTGTACCACTGATGAATTATCAAGAACATATCTGCCCCAGCTCAGAGCAATAGTACCACCCTGTTCAAACACTTTTAGGGCCTGATTCTGCCCCTGATGTAACATACATACACAACAAAGTAAAAAACCAAAAAGCAGCAAGTAGGAAAGAAAATACATTAAACTATTTTCTGTGTTAGTGTTACTGTTGCATAACCATCTTGCTACCGGTAGCAGAAATGTGATTTAAGGGACAGGTCCAATACCTACTTACAAACACAAAAGTCCTCATGTTAATCTCACTAGCACCCATTTAGCCTCCAAGAAATGAAGCACATAAATGCTCCATATTAGCATAATGAATAAATTTTTATATCACCAGCTCAATGACATCTTTTGGTACTACACACTCTTTAAAAAGTAGCTGGTACACAAGACTAAAGACTTAATTCTCTTAAGATCAGCAACATGCATATTTAAAAATCTTTGGATCGACACATGACTTGCTCTTGCAGTACAGTTCTAAGGGAAGGACGATAGGAACTTAAATCATTTTTCCCCATGGATCAGCAGGTTTCTACTTAATTGCCTGTGTATTACTTTTTCAACTCAACTGAACAACAAGAAAGGGAATGACTCTGTGTATCTCTATGACAGAAAGTGGGATTTAAAAAAAGATATTTTGAGTTACCTGTTTTATGCATACTAGGTGAAGATGCAGAGGTAGGAAAATAAGGAACCTGCCCAATTGTACCATGCAGGACGGATAACACTGGAGTCTGGGCTGAAGGGAGAGGCTGGACCATAGCCTTTTCTGAAAGCAGCTGCCCAGCCTCAGTAGCAGAATGGAAAGGCTGAAAAGGCTGAGAGGTGGATTGAGGCACCAGTTTGGGGATTTCAACAGGCCCTCGTATAAAGTCACTAAATTCTTCATCATCAAGAAAAACAGAGTGGGAAACAGATACAGCAGAGTGGGATGATGTGGGATGATCTGTAAAATGGAATGAACACACAATGCAAGGTGATGAGGAAAAAGGCTCTTAGGTGGAAAGGTAGCAAAAAATGATAAATATTAGGTGTACACAGCAAATGGGTGAGAAGAAACAGCAGTGGATACATTATTTGACAAAGAGATGAGACTAGTTACCGTGGTTAGCATAACAGAAACACGTGAGGTAAAATTGAGCGGCCACTTCCCACCACGCATCTTCTCTCCCAGATTTTTTTATGATGTAAAAACTTGGATTGAAACGTGATTCTTAACAAGTATGGCTATTAAAGTATTCCTTTTGTTTTAAACGAACTGGGTAAAAACAAATCAAAAGGTAGTATACAGAATTAGGCATAACTGGGGGGGGAGGGAGGGCAACAGGGGATATTCTCCCTCAAAGATGCATTTTATCCTCAGAAATTCAATAATACATCATAAGATCTAAAATAAGTTTATATTCATTTAAACAGTTTTCTGCTTGATCTCCTTCCCATAGTTACCCCTTTTAACAGAACTGACATAGGATGTGCAAGTCAATAGGCAATGGAAAAACTGTCAGAAAAGCACTCGTAACTTCAGAATTATTAAAAAGCAAACCCACAGAACAGGTGAAGATTTATCTGGAAAAAGCTTGTCTAGACAAGCTTCTTTTCACGCTAGATACAAAACCAACTATACAACTACAATTCAAACAAAATCTTTAGTAGTAATTGTTACAAAGGTAGTTATTACTGAGAAAAGAGAATATAAAAGGCTTCAGTTTGACTGTGCCCAGGTAATGATATAAACGTAAGCCATTAGCGTACGCCAAAGTCATTATACAATGTTTTGATAATACTTAGCACTTATATAGCACTTCTCAGCTTCAAAAGCGCTCTGCAAAACATTAATTCTTTGACTAAAAAAAACCAAAAAACAAAACAAACTCAACATTTAAAAATCAAAGTGTTCAAAGGAAGTTACTAACAGTGGGCTTAACATCCATTATGAATATACATGAGACTTCACATTAAGCACATCACATTAAGCTTTCTTTTAAAGACACCAAGTCTTCTAATAAAAGCCAAAATCTAATATTTCACTGTCACAACCTGAGAAAGCAAATAGCAGCTAGGAAGACTTTCCATTTTACAATACAAATAACCCACCATATAAAGGCACTTCTTGGAATTGAAATTCTCAGTGGGAGGAACCAACTATCAGAGGTTTTTTTGTTTGAGTTGGAAGATGACAAACCTGGCTTTTTTGGATGCGATGCTGGTGTTGGGTGCATTTTAGCATCTCTAGAAAAACCATCTAAATTTCCTTTAATGGCTTCCAATGCATCATCTCTGCTTTTTTCACCTGTCTGAAACATGACAGAACACATTTTGAAAAACTGACATTACAACTCAGTTTTCTTTCAACATCCATGCTTGTTTAGCAAAAAAATTAGCAATGCCTGCTGTCAGATGCAACCCTTCTTTCTCCATCAATGCTCTGCTATTTAGAAAGGGAGGTTATTTTGCGGACCACACAGTAACAGTATTTCTCAGTCTTCAGACATGCAGTTTGTGTATTAGAACAACGTATAAACATTACTCAGCTATTTGTATTCTTGCAGATGAGAACCTCTGAGCTCACTAGAACTGTCCAAAACTTAATAAAGTTAACAAACAAGCCACCAAACAATCTATTCTGGAAACTCCATCTGTCCCCAAATGTTACATACCAGGTAAGTCTACTTTTGAAAAGCTGATTTCATTTGCAGCACCACACTTTGTTTATTTTACATTAAGAGTGTGTAAAGGACTGAATATTCCAGATGCTTTCCAAGATCTAATTTGATGCCTCATATAAATTCCTCACTTATTGGCTTGTCAAAAAAGACAATCCATTAAAAGTCACGTTAAAAAAAAGCAAACAAAACGCAAAACTGAAAACCCAAATCACACAGTTATTTACGACATACCTTAGGTTTCACACTGCTCAAGAGTCTTAGCTTTTGTTTCTGTTCTTCAAACTGGCGTCGTTTTCGTTCTTCTTCTAAGAATTTCTGCTGGTGCTCAAACCTCTTTCTAAAACAAAATCATGAAAAGCTAAAGAAAGGTTTTTTTTATTATAATTTTCATATCAAGCTTCTGCTTGATCTTTCCATTTCTCCTTTCTGAAATTCAGATGGCTTGGTGTACGCATTTCCACTTTTTGCAGAATTGTAATAAGATAGTCACTACTAACTTCATAGACTGCCTTCAAATGCAAGGGAATGATCTTCACGATGTTTTATAGAGTCCTAATTGGATTTCCTTCTAGAGAAACTATCACAAATAATTTTACTGTGTAACCTCCAGACTATGCCTCTCCCATGAAAAAAAGAAGAATTTGCCAAGAGTAAATAAAGTGTCACTTACTGTTGTTCTTCCGCAAACTGTTTCTGCATGTCAGGGGTATACTGTGGGGCTGCTGGACGCATTCCTAAGAAAGGAGCCTGTCCCATGTAAGGCATTCCAGTTGCTTGCATCGGCCCTAAAGGCATGCCACCCTAGGACAAACAAACAAACAAAAAAAAACAACTCCATGAACTTCACTGAAAAAGTCAAACCACTGGAAATCACACCACGCCAAATTGTGAACTAGCTAGATCTCATAAAATTTAGAGTATTAGGTGTAACTGGATGAGAAGCCTCTGACCACAGACTAGCTGTTTGAGGAAAAAAAAGCATCGGTCATTCAGTAGATGGCACTCTTCCCTCTCAATACAGAATCACAATTCTTAGAGGAATTTAAAAGGCAGGCTGGTCTTCTGGACAAATACAAAAAAATAAAATATAAAAATCAGGAATTCAAATCCATGCAACCTACCTCAAGAGTGGAAATGTCACAGGTATCCCAACCTACACCCTCTTCAGTACTATGGTTTGGGTTTTTTTTTTTTCTTTTTCTCCTATTCTAAGGGATTGTGTAATATTTTTAAATGCCGTCCAGGAGGTACACTCTCCTAACCAACAATGGATGCTATCAAAACTTGGTCTAGTCATTTTGCAAGCATAGATTATCTAGGTGTCCAAGGGAGGGAGATAGTATAAGACAGAAGAAAAGAAGACACTTGCCTGTATAAAGTGCATCTGTACTAGAAAGGTTTGCTGATATATATGTAGCAATTAGCAATAGAAGAGTTAAAGACAGGAAATTGATTTAAGCAAGAAAAAAATGATAACAAAACATAGGAAACAGGATAAATGTGAAAACTGATCAAGTGAAAAAAATATAGCACATTAAGAGATTCCTTGCTCCTCGGAACAAGGGATTTTTCTTTTAAGTTTATGAACTGCCACCTACATTTACAAAACATAGTTCTATTACTGCCAGCATAGGCATTACAAAGGGATAAAACAAAACGCAGTGAATTGGTCATGACCAATCAGATTGTATACATAGTTAACTTCTTACCAGCTTATAAAGGTCTCATTTAAAATACTACACAATATACCACCTTAAGAGCAGGA